GTGGTTTTTTCGTTTTTTTGTTTTTTTGATAAATATTTCTTATGTAATTGAAAATAACACTTAATCTTTACTTGGCGAGTGTATTTTTTTTTTTACTGTTTCATTGGATACTAATAATGGAAGTTAATTTTTGTACAGCAACATCAGCATTATCTGGGTGCTTATTCAAAACTCAGAATCTCAGGCTCAGCCCAGACCTAAGATCTCAAGGTGATGTTTGAGAAGTGCTGTTCTATATAATTACTAATTCTGCACTACTTTTTCTTTCTTTGTATTGGGAACATTGAATATCCTCCTTCTAGCTATTTGAAACTATATATTATTAACTGTAGTTATCCCACAATGGTAAAAAACACTAGAACTTATTCCTCCTATCTTGCTGTAATTTTGTATCCTTTAACAAATATTTCCCTATCCCCAATTTTCCCCTGCCCTTCTCAGCCTCTAGTATCCTCTGTTATACTTTTTACGTCTATGAGATCAACTATTAGCATCTTTAGCTTCCACATATTAATGAGAATGTACAGTGTTTAACTTTCTGTTCCTGGCTTATTTCATTTAACATAATGTCTCCAGTTCCACCCATGTTGCCGCGAATGACGGGATTTCGTGCTTTTTATGGCTGATGGTATTCCATTGTGTATATATACCACATTTTATTTCTTTATCTGTTGTTGGACACCCAGGATGATTCCATATCTTCACTATTGTGAATAGTGCTGCAATAAACATGTAAGTTGCAGAGGCCTCTTTTTTACACTGATTTCCTTTTCTCTGGATAGTACCTAGTAGTGGCATTGTTGGATTATATGGTAGTTCTATTTGCAGTTTTTAAAGGAACCTCCATAGTGTTCTCCATGTTGGCTATGCTAGTTTACATTCCACCAACAATGTATAAGTGTTCCCTTTTCTCCGCATCATCACCAGCATTTGCTATTTTTGTCTTTTTTATAAAAGCCATCCTAGCTGGGTTGAAATGATACCATTGTGGTTTTTGATTGGCGTTTCAATGTTGATCAGTGATATTGAGCATTTTTTTCATATATTTTTGGCCATTTATATGTTTTATTTTGAGATATATCTGTTCAGATCGTTTGCCAATCAGATTGTTTGGTCTTGGGTGTTGAAAAGTTTGAGTTCCTTGTATATTCTGAATATTAATCCCCATTGGACTAATAGTTTACAAATATTTGCTTCCATTCTGTAGATTATATTTTCACTCCATGGATTTCTTTGCTATGCAGAATCTTTTAAATTTGATATAATCCCATTTGGTTTGGTTTGGCTTGGTTGCCTATGCTTTTGAGGTCTTATTCATAAAATATTTTCTCAGATCAATGTCCTAAAATGTTTTTCTTATGTTTTCTTCTAGTAGTTTTAATTTTGTTTCTTACATTGAGGTCTTTGATCCACTTTGAGTTGGTTTTTGTCTAAGGTGAGAGGTGGGGTTTTAGTTTCATCCTCTTACATATGCATATCTAGTTTTCCCATGATAATTTATTGAAGAGAATAAAATATGAGTGTTCTTGCCACTTTTGTCAAAAATCAATTAGCTGTAGATATGTGGATTGATTGCTGGGTTCTCTATTCTGTTCCATTGGTTTATATGTCTGTTTTTATGCCAATATCGTGCTATTTTATTTACTA